TAACATATGATTATTCATGAAGGTGGCACCATGAAAGTTGAGTGTTTTCAGAACTCAAAGCAGCCTATAGAAACAGCAGCTTGGCTTTCATTGTTTCATTTTATTGTTGCTTTATTGTTCCTGTCCACATTTCTAAAAAAACAAAAATGTAAAGAATAGTGTCAGTACAGCTGCTATGGGCCATGATGGAGGGTGTGAAGACACATGCCATGCCTACTGATGTTAACCTGGAATGTTCTTATCATTTTAAGGCTGCGGTGATAACAGCTCTCCATCCTCTTCCATTCATGGACGTGCACTTCAGTCCTGCACAGTGGTGAAAAAAGGTCCCAATGGATGTAAGAGAGTACAACAAAGAGTGCAAAGAAACAAAAAAACAAGTTAGTAGGTCAAGGGGCTCCATCCCCAGCATGGCCACAGACCTGACTCAGGAAAAGACAGTCATACAGTTTAACTGTTCTGTCCTCCTCCCCCTTTCACTGTGCACTTCCCCTTTAAAGTATCTGAGAGGAACCGCTGCACACTTGGCCGCTTTCTCTGCCTCTCTCATAGCGTGTTATGAGGCTGTGAAGCGGCTGCTGGGTTCAAAGGATCTGCAAGGATAAAAGAAGCTCCTGTATTTTATTGTGGAGGCTGTACCGTGTTCGTGGATATGGGATGCAGGGGAACAGGCTTCAAGTTATTAAGAGAGTGAGAGACACTATTTTATTTGAATTTCCTTTGGCTTAGGAGACATGTCTGGACTGTGCATGCCTAAAAGGTAAAAGTATTACCAGTTTGTCGCTTTTTTGTTTGAAAAAGTTCATCATAAACAAAAGATTATCATCTATTTTTTTATATCCTTTTAATCATATCATTAATAGTAATCAGATTACAGGATTACATGATATTTTATTTATGTATTTTGAAACTCTATTTTATTTAATGAAAAACTGGCTTGAAATGCAACATTAAAGCATGAAATGATGCCAAACTGCTTTAAACTGTAATGAAAAACCAATTTTGCTTCAGTGTATTCGCCTTTTAAAAGACAGTATTTGCTGAAACTGTAACAGGACTTTGATACCATAAAATCCCCTTCATTGAACTTGTTTGCTCGCAAATTGGTGTCAGCTTTTTACATGTATATGGACACTGGAAATACTGGCATGTTGCAATATTTATTTTTTAATGTTATTATCATATATATAGTGTGCATCTTCTGGTTTAAAAATGATTGTTGAACTGTTGCAGATGCTCCTTTTTTTAAGAGTTATAGTTTTTGGCATTTATTATAAAGAACTTACACTGACATAAAAAGAGAGACATAATAAAGCTTAATCATAAAACATACAGACATAAAGCTATGTGTAATATATAGGTGTGAGTTACTGTGGTTTACTGTGTGACTATGAACTACTATAAACAGTGTTAAATTATCTTCCGGACATGTATCACTTTCTAAAAGATAATGGATATAAAGGGAGGTGTAACTCAGAGTCCAAGCTGATGAATTATTGAATGACAGCAGCCTCACATCCATTAACATGTACTCTCTGCTGTAAACTAACAAAGAGGTTACATTAGTTTCAGTGGTCAAGAGGAGACAGGAAGGAGCACTGCGAGCTACAGTTATTAGTTCTACTGTTGTCTTTATTGGGAGCCTCCCCAACGGCCCTGTAGGTTTCTCTTTCATATAAAGAGACCGCAAAGAGAAAATGTGCAAGTCTAAATTTTAGCTCTTGCAATCTGTCTACTCTCGCCAGAAAAAAAAAAGCAAATAAGCACCATGGACACAGAAACAATGTGTATCACTAAACTGAAATAGAAATATACTTGTTCTTACTATCTACTATCTTACTATCTTTTCCAGCGAATGTGGTCGTTTTCATCTTCCTACAATGCGTCTCCTTCTGAATGTGTTCCTGGATGAACTTGGGTCATTGTTGGTTATGATTCCTTGGTCCTCGTCTTTGCTCTACATGAAGTGAAAATAAATCATGTGAAAGCTCCTTCTTTCCACTCTTTACTTGAGAAATAATCTGAAATCCTTTCCTTTTTGAGCCTGAGCATTACTCTCTCCTTGGCAATGTGCTTTCTTCCACCTACAGGGCCTCTCTTCATTTATTACCAATGATAGCTGCTCTTTGGTTGCTGTGATAGTAGTGTAACGAAGCTTGAGCTGATTCTTGAGCTCTGAAATCATCACATAACTTCAAATCCACTGGCTCAATGTTGCTTTAACTTGAAGTGAACCTACTTGAACTTGAACTAGCTCTCTAGTTAAATCAAATGGCAACCGCTCTGGTTTACATTTAGACATTTGTAGCCTACCTGAACCACTACTACTTTAACAACGTTTCTCCTTCCTCTGCAGGGTAGATGTACCTTGATGGGAGTGAAGCCGGGCTGCAAATGGGAGGAAGTCTCCACATTTCACCTACTACAACGATGGACTACAACGACTCCCACACTTTGCTCTCTGGGGAGCAGCTCATCTACACCATCACCATACCACTGTCGACCTCCATCATCCTGGCCAACCTGGTCATCATCCTGGGCATCGCCTGGAACCGCCAGCTCCACAACACGACCAACTACTTCTTCCTCAGCCTGTTAGTGGCTGACATGTGCACAGGCGTGACGCTGCCCTTCATACCTTTAATGGGCCTAAACCGGGAGTTGAGTTTCAGCTCCTGTTTGGTGGCTCACATTTTCCCAAATTTCCTCTTCTTGGCGTTCCTTTTCAACCTTGTAATGGTTCACTATGAGCGCTTCATTTGCATCGTCGACCCCCTGCATTACAATAACTTGTGGATGCATCGCAGTTTTCCTCTAGCATTGCTTGTGGTGTGGGTGCCCCCGCTTCTCTATGCATGTCTACCTGCCTTTGGGTGGAATAACTGGACAGGACCAGATTGGGACGGCTGTTGTTGTGCAAGCAGCCAAAATTTGACTCCACTTTCAAACTGTTCAGCAAATGCAACCACCTGCTGCTCATACCGCAGAGTATTCCCCAATGCTTTTATCTACTTGGAGGTGTATGGGCTCGTCCTACCTGCAATTCTCACCATCGCTGGCATGACTGGCCGCGTTCTGTGGATCACCAGAGGCCAGCTGAAGGACATTTGTCGCCTCCATCGTTCGGTGGAGCGGGGGAGTCAGGCCTCAGACCAAGAGCAGAGGCTGAACCTGCGGTACACTCGCTGCGTGGTGGCTGTGTCGCTGACCTTCCTCGCATGCTGGGTTCCCTACCTCATTTACATGCACGTGTGCATAGCGTTCCTGATCACTGACACCAAGTGGAGCTCCACCACTCACATTGTGCTGTCTTGCACCGGCATCGGAAGCATGGCCGTGGTGCCGCTGGTGCTCGGCCTTGCCAACAAGCAGTACACGGAACCGGCATACAAAGTTCTCCAGAAACTCAGAGACAGGTGGAGGCGAAGGATGCGGGAATCAGAGGAGGTGGCAGTGTGAGAAAATAATTACGAATCTGAATATTTATCTCCACCAAGGAGGTCATGTTTCCACCCATGTCTGTTTACATTTGGTGGAGGGACGGGGCAGGGGCCAGGGAGGAAACCATTAAATCTTGGGGGCAGATCTAGATCATTTATTATGAATTTTTCTTTGCACATTTGTATTGATTCTTTCATAATTTATACATCCGTGTCTTTAAAAAATGGCCAACTCTTATTTTACCACCGCTACACTGGGTTTGGAAATATTTTTTTTTGTCTCCATTGCTGAAGATTTAGCCTTCCAGTTTACATTAGACATAAATGAAAAGATGAGGAATAAATAAGCCACTTTTACATTACTACAGCCCATTTGATGTGTTGTATTTTTCTGTTGTCACATTGGTTTCCAAATAGGAATATATGTTGGTGTTAACATGTTTCCGTCCATGAGATTAAGAAAAACATTTTCAACATCTCCTCCATTGTTACGCCAAAGTCACATTTCACACTGAACTACTTTTAAAAAAGGCAGAGCAAAAAGCAAGCTAAATGTGAACGCTGTAATGCAAATGATACAATGAAGGAAGGTTAAATAAAACCGCGCTTGTATGAGCGCTGTACATCCTATAAATATAGCTCAAAGATGCTCATTTCTCTTTGTGTTGCCTCCTCTGCACATCAGCAGAACCAGTGGTACATTTTCTTCTTCTGTCACCCTCCTGCCTGCGATGTTTACTCCTTCTTCCCTCGCCGGTGTTTATGTATATACTGGTATGCAAGCTGAAGAGGGGAGAGGGATGCACCCACTATCCTTAATACATCTACAAGACATGAGGAGATTAGGCCTTCTGCAAGAGTTGAAACTTAGCTGAGTTTCCGGTTTCTGCCCTATTTAGATTAAATGTTACAGGACTCTTGAAAACTGAAGAAGCAAGCAAGTCTTATTTGCTGTAAAGATCCATTCACAGGAAATGAGATTTTTATTTGAGACTTGATTAAACACAGAATATAATGTCGTGTTATTTGTCTCCCCGAACTAAATGTGGTTTTGAATGTGTGCGTACAGTATGTGGGTGGGAAGGAGACGGACAGTAAATGAGCTGAGGAGTAAAAGCAGACTTTAATCAAATTAAAGGGCAAACAAGGTCTGAACTGTTTGCGGGATATGAGGAGATATGGGATATCATCACGGGGTCAATGGTATGCCATCTGTATGTCTTTTGTTTGTGTTGCCATGCAAAGCCACGCAACAGCATGTTTTCCACATCAGAATATCGTGTGCATATGTGTCAGGAAGACGGAGAAGAACCAGGAGAGGAAGAGGAGGAGGGAAAAAATTAAGACACAAGGAGACTGTCAGGCTCCAGCGTCCGTATTAAGTAGCTCTTCCCCAGCTTTTAGCTAAGATAGAATAAGCCAGGATTTACTTTACAGACATGAGTGGTATCAATCTTTTTTTTTCTCAGCAAGAAAACAAACATGCATGTGTCCCAAAATGGTAATTAATAATCTGTGTGTTGTTTGAAAGAAAAAGAAAGACAGTAGACATATTGCATGTTGTGTTGTTTTATTTATTAATTGTTTTCCACTGCAAATACTTCACACACACACACTTTGTACCATCTTCTGGTATCCTCATGATTACTTTGACACATGTGATGTTCACATGAACCTCATGAAGGACAAACAGTATAACACCAGGGAAGCACAGACAACAAAAACCATGCAAAGCCATTTAAGGTATGCAGCTTCTACCTCAGATCAAACATCGTCTTTGTGCATTTCCTTCCTGATATGACCAAGATATGGTGCAACAGAACATTCATTAAGAAACCTTTACAACGTTCGCAAAGACAAAATCTTACTCACAAAGGCAGGAGAGAAATAGCTGCGGCGACAGCTGAAAAACACACTGATGCTGCCAGGAACACCACAAGATAAGAAAACCCTTTAAGAAACACTGCTCCACATAAACAAAACATCTCCAACCTCCATGCACAAATTCTTCAGAAAAACGTTCAACCTGCCAAGAAGCTATTGTTGCTCTACCAGAAAGCACACAAACAAAAGTTTCATTACTGCATTAAAAGTAACTTAATTTAACTTAATTTGAAGTGTTTGAATTCACATTTTGAGGATATATATTTATATGTAGTGTAATGCTGCAGACAGAGGAGTGATGCACACTCTCAGTCAGTGTATTGGGAGCTTTCGGACACGACTCTGCCTGCCTCCACTTCCACCCGGATCAGCAGGCGTTTCTTGGAGGCCGCCGGGATAACGGTGTCCGCCGGGTTGTGGGTGGTTGCCGTGACGACGGCGGGTTCTGGAGCTGGTGGCGTCTCTGGCAGATGCTGTTTGGATGGCAGGCGAACGTCTGCGTGCAAGTAAGGACTTTGGATTGGTTGGTTTGTTTTTTAGAAATCTGAGCAAAAGAGAGGTTTGATTTTAGTGGGAAGCAAAACATGAATCAGCCACGAGAATGTATGAGATGCATGCAGGTTCTTGTGTTGTTTTATTTCTGCTACTGTGTGCTTTAAATGATTAATAATTTTTGGAATGCCATGTCAAGAATTTTTATGGCTGCACTGATTTCAGAAAAGAAGCAACAGAATTGTTCTCACCTCCGTGGCGCATGAGGTCGTTCATCCTTCACAGAGATGGAGAGAGACAGTTGTTAGCGCGAGCATTAATGGTGTGAATACGAATAGAAGCTTAGGAAAACAATGCGCTCATCCCCTCTGCTCACATACCTCTCCTCCTCGCCCTCCAGCAGCTTGCGGTAGGTGGCGATCTCGATGTCCAAGGCCAGCTTCAGGTTCATCAGCTCTTGGTGCTCGCGGATCTGTCCGGCCAAGTCCTGCTTGGCCCGCCTCAAGGCCTCCTCCAGCTTGGCGATGTCCTCCCGGGCCTGCTCCAACTTGTCGTCGCCTTCTGTCCTGACATCGCCGATTTCCTTCTTCAGGGACTCTTCCTGCAGAGGAGAGGAAGGAGAGAAGATCAGAGGCCACTTGGACTGGAGGGGGCTGCAAATCTATCCATGAGCGTGTGTCTGTGTGATTCCCAACCTTCCTTAGGAGAGCCTCCAGGTCGCCATTGAGCCTCTGGATGAGGCGCAACATGTCTGAGATGTCCCTCTTTAAATCACGCACTTCCTGCTCACGTTGTCCTGCATTTAAGACCATGGCATCCATCTAGGCGGAGGGGGGGAAATGTGAATAATGAGAACAGTATCTGGCCTCACATAAAGATCTATCTAAGAGTGTTAAGATGTGGAATAAATTTCAATGGAAATATCAAACTGTGTTCATCTCAAATCTGTCACGAATATAAAATGCGTCACTTGTTTCAGTGTAATCCTCCTCACCTTTCTCTGGTTCCACTGCTCGGCCTCCTCCCTGCTGCGGGCAGCCACGTTGGCGTACTGATTCTTGACATTCTGGATGATCTCGTCCATGTCCAGAGTCCGTTTGCTGTTGTCAGGTATGATCACCGTCTTGTTCTGGATTTGAGACTCCAGCTCCCTGATCTCCTGCAGGGGGCAGACATGAGGACAAGACACTGCTGTATGTATTATCTGCTATTGTTATAACGTCAGTTAATAAGAAAAAAAAAAATCTGTCATTACCTCATCATAGCCAACCCTGAGGAAATCCAGCTTTCCCATCAGGTCCTCCAGCTCCAGAGCCAGATTCACCGCCTTCAAGTGGCCTTCATCCACATCCTGTAACACACACACATTAAAAGTACAGATAGAGCTTCACTCATCAGTTTCTATAAAACACAGCAAAACTATACATTTCTGTGACCGGAAATTAGAAATAGAGTATAAGTAGCTCACAATACCTTTTTGGTGACGACAAAATCATTCTCCAGGTCAGCTTTCTTTTGTAACTCCTTCTCATACCTGAGACCAATTGAATATAATCGCATTTGTCAGCTTAATCAGAATTCATTTAAAGACATTCAAACTTGATGGAGGTTTAGTGTTTCTAAAGCGTGACCTGCTCACCTCCTCTTAGTGTCCTCCACCTCCTCTTGGTCCTTGAGCAGCTCGGCCTGCAGCTTGTCTTGGTCACGGAGCAGGCCCTCGATCCGCTGCTCCAGCTCGTTCTTCAGCTGCTTCACGATGTCGTCGACGTTCCCCTCGTAGTCCTCCTGCTCCTTGAGGATCTTCAGCTTGGTGTCGAGCTTTTTGTTCTCGTCCTCCAGGTGTTTCACCTGAGACAGAGACGGACGAAGGCGGGGAGTGTGTAGGAGGGGGGAAAAAAGGCGAACAAAGCAGCAGTAAATCTGAGGAATGTCATATCTGCTGCAGCTGGATGCCAAGTTTCACATGCTATTATTATGTGGTCCATGCTGATAATGACAGGTGAGGATGTTTTTGCACACTCAAAGTATGTATGTGTAGCCTATTATCATGTTTGTTGTTGTTTTCCATATACATCAAATATATATGTGTCTGTTTCATTCAGTTAAAAAGCATCAATGTCCCTCAAACCATTTCTCTGGTTATGGTGAGTGAGTGATGACCCTTAAAGTTTTCTAATTGTCCACAAGAGGGCGTCCTACATGCATTTCCAGCATTGTTTACATGAGGTGAAGCTTTCAGTAACACAATTCATGGCCTCAGGTCACAGAATTAATGCAGCAAATAGGCTCCAGGAGCGGAAACAGGTTTGACCCCTTTTACTTTGCTTTTACTTTGAACTTAAACTGAATATTGAATATTGACAATTAAAAAATAGCTCTCAGAACTGATTAGAAAATTTTGCACTGGTTCAAATGAGGCAAATTATAATACTTTTTTTTTTTTTTTACATTTTCTTCACCTTTTTTTAAATCTATTTTTTTTTTCATTTTATCTTATATTATTGTTGGATTTTTTATTTTTTGTATTATTTTTAACTGAATAATTTTATCTGCAGTCTTTAATCCTGGTTCAATGTAAAACACGTGGCTTTGTTCTGCGTAAAGAAAGTGTATCAACTGATTTGATCAAACACACAGAAAACACAGAAAAAATAATAATGTCATTTACAAACCTTGTCAATCAACTGGACGAACTTGTCATTGAGTCCAACCATGTCGTCCTTCTCCCTGGATTTGCCCGCAGAGTCGATTTTGTTGTTGGTCGGCAGACTTTTGGCGGGTCCTGTGCCGCTGGGGGAGTAGGACTGGCTGCTGTAATCTCTTGGTTTAGACATATTGAAGCTTGTAACAGCGACAAGAGGTCTAGAAGCTGGACAGGTGAGCGGTGATGGCACCTAGAGCCCTCCAGATCACCTGCTTTTAAGGTAGACAAGGACCACCCATCACCTCTCCACTTCTCTGTCTGCTCCAATCAAAAGAGGACAAGTGCAATATTACAGTGAGAAAAATGAAAAAATACTTGAATTTCGACTCTGGACCAGTTTGTCCAGGGGTGGTGTCGGGCACCAGGAGCCAATGGCATCTGAGGGGCGGATTTGTGCGTAAAAAACAGGTATAAGACTCACCTGTGTCCTTTACATCCATCAGGCGACTCTCCAAGCTGAATCACTCTGTGTGCACTTGTCAGCTCTCTCTCATCCAGCTGTAATCATGCCTTCAAACACCGCTGCCAGCATGTTTGGTGGAGCCGGAGGAAGGGGCTCCAGGGCGTCCGTGGCCAGCCTGGAGGGGCTGCGTAACGTGATGCGCAACGAGACGGACAAAGACTCCTCGCCCGCTCCTCCTCCAGCAAAACCTGCCGCTGCCGCTGCCCCCGCTCCTGCTCCGCTCCCCGCTGATGACAAGCACACACTGCGGGGTCTGAACGACCGTCTGTCCGGCTACCTGAACAGGGTGAAGCAGCTGAAGGAGGAAAACGACAATCTGGAGAAACAGATTGGTGAGATTGTGGCCAAGAGGAAGGCGCCTGAGGGGCGGGATTGGGATGAGACTGGGAAACCCCTGGAAGACCTCACGAACAAGGTTTGTCATCGGATTTATGTATTTATTTATTTAATTATAGGAGGAAAAATATGAAATTAAATAACATTTTTTCCACTTTAGATCAAAGACATCACCATGGACAATGCCAAGCTGCTACTCCAGATTGACAACACCAAACTGGCCAATGATGACTTCAAGAACAAGTGAGTTTCATGCAGTCTAGACAAAAAAACAACAACATTATTTTGAAAAAGGATGCTCAGGAAATAAAACATAATAATTCGGACAATTTAGATGAAAAGGAAGTTGAGTGGTGTTTGTGTGGATCATTGTTGGGATTCCTCCCGCCTCTTCACAGGCTGGACGATGAGACAAAGGCCCGTAAGGAACTGGAAAAAGACCTGGAGGTTCTGAAGAAGACCATCGAGGACACCAAGCTGAACTGCGAGCAGTCTAAGAAAGAGACTGATTTGGTGAAGGACGAGCTTGCTCGCATCAAGAAGGAACACAAGAATGTGAGGCTGGAAACCAAACGCACAAATCCCTAGAAACGCACACTTTAAGATCTCCCAAATTGCATTGTGTGACATTTTTAGGGCAACGTTGTGACTGTGACTCTTGTAGGAGGTGGATGTCCTGCGTGAGAAGATCAAGGAGTCCGAGGTGAAGGTGGAGGTTGATTCCAAGAACTCCAACCTGGCCGAGATTCTCAACAAGATCCGCAACCAGTACGATGAACTGGCCAAGAAGAACCTGAAGGAGACTGACGAGTGGTACCAGAGCAAGGTATATTACCTGCAGGACTCCTTTGTGAAATTCTCCTTCTCTCTCCTTCCCATCTCCCTCCCTCTCCTCTGTTTATCTCACCGTTTTCCCCCTTGGTTTTCCCCTCTCCAGTTTGAGAACATAAAGGTGGTGGAGGCCCAGAACGTCGAGGTCTTGCACTCCGGAAAGACGGAGCTCAAGGATCTGCTCAAACAGAAACAAATTCTGGAAATTAAGATCCAGAGTTCGCAGAGCACGGTAACCAAACACACACACGCACAAACGGCATGTCACTTTGTCACTCTGCCATAAGATGCAAGGAAGATACAACAATGTGAAATGACCTGAAAGCACAACCTACCACACACACGCACAGAGAGGGGCCAGGTTTTTACTGTAGATTTGAATAGGGAGCTCATTTCTCTAGACAAGTTTGGAAATGTCTTGTTTTGACACACTGGCCCCCAATTTTTGTTTTCACATAATTACCCTTCAGTTTTTGCATAACTCAGTGACATCTGATACACAGGAGACCCAAATCAGATCTTAAGCTGAAGCCTAAAGCGTCAGGAATGCTAAACCCTCCCGCAGGCGTGTTTTCTGACCTGTCCTTTTCACAAGCATTCCTGACTACCCTGTTATTATACTGTAACCCTGCAACTTAAAACCAGGTAAATTCTTGACCCATCTCACTGCAGTTTGACAAGGCACCTGGACTTGCACCTGCGAAACAAAAACAAACTATGAATATGAAGGTCACGGCTCCTGAGAAGACGTATTGATTTATCTATGTCTTCTTCTGAGGCCCCCCCCCCCCCCCCCCCCCCCCCCCCCCCCCCGAGGTCCAATATCCAATTATGGGACGCCTAGACTCACCTCATGTCTTCTTTTCAGATCCGAAATCTGGAGGAAACCCTGAGGAACACCGAAGTTGAGTACGGTCAACAACTGGCCCCTCTCAACAAGGTGATCATGGACTTGGCGTCGGAGCTGGAGAAGGTGAGGGCACAGGTGGAGAACCAGGTGGAAACCAACAAGAACCTGCTGTGTGTCAAGATGAAGCTGGAGTCGGAAATCAACGGCTACCAGCAGCTGATCAATGGGATGACGGCTGATACTGAAAGGTGAGGATGGTCAGAAAGACTCCGTGATGGTTGTGTGTTTTCTTCCCAATATTATTATATTTCCTCCCTTGAATCTTTGGCTAGAAAACATGTCCATCTTATAGCTAGCATTTTCTCTCATTTAGAAAGGATGGGATGCTCGTCTCTCACTCCATAAATTTTTGCCTAATGTGGCTTTAAAGTTTGATATTCTGGCTTCCACCTTTTCTGCCAAACAGCTGTTAGCTCTCGCATCTTCCCATCTATCTGAAAATATCCAACTATAAGTTCTTCTAAAGATTTAAAAGGATAGCATAAACACACCTGTAATTCACACACACAAAAAAAACTAACATAGTGAACATGTTTCCCACTTGGTACGTTAGCATACTTATCTTCTTCTTCCCTGACAGCACGGAGTTTTCTTTAGAGGATGCACTGCGCAGCGGTGAGTTATGGACCTGGCTGGAATAAAAACACATGACTTCAAAATGACATCACAGTGACCTGATTGATAAGCTTGCCTCTATCGCCAAGACAGACTGGAGTCAATACTGACTGAGATGCCTTCAGTCTGGTTTTGCAATCTAACTGGGGCCTTTCCAACAGGAAAGAACAAAAAAAAGATAATCATCAGAATTTGACCCTCGTCTTCCCTGTAGATTGGAAAGAGCTAGAAAAGGTGCAGGCGATACAGTTGAGGATCAAATAATGGTTTAATGTGGATGCAATAATCATGTGGCTTACACCTTTCATTCTTTCTAAATCAACAGCAGGGATTATAGCGTCGCATGCAGAGTTGAGCTTGAACTCTAACCCTCACATCACTTTTGATTGAAGGAGTAGTTTCGCAAAAAATATGTGTGTTGGCTTTCTTGCCGGGAGTGAGAAGAGAAGATCGACACCACACTCTTGTCTGTACGGTAAATGTGAAGCACGGGCAGCGAAGCAGCCAGTTAGCATATCTTAGAATAAAGGCCCTGTTTGTCGAACGTGTGAGTGGTGTTAATCTTCTCATCTAGCTCTCGGCAGGAAAGCGAATAGGCATATTGCCCAGAATGTTGAACTATTTCCTTACACATCACTAAACTGCACTAAAGTGTTGTTGTCACTTTGCACCCTGTAACTGCATGCAAACACACCACAATTTTAACACCACATGGTATTCAGAAATGTAATGATTTTGACAAGAAAAACCAATCCCAAGAATGAAAATATCATTTCTTTGTCTTGTGTTTCCACTCATTGACTCTCTGGAAGAAGAAGCAGGAAAGCTGAAGGATGAAAACAGTGTTATGCTTGAAACCTGTAAAATCTGATTCGTCTTCTTGTTTCCAGAACAGCAAAAGCCTAACAACGAGGCGCCTGAGCAGCAGCAGGAAGTGAAAGGAGAAGCCCTTGTGAAGCAAGAAAGTGCCCCCCCCAACAAATCCAACCCCCCTGAAGTGGTGGAAGGAGACCTCATCAAGGCCGAGGCGGTTGCTGCCAATAAAGCAGCAGCTCCAATTGCGCTGAACAATGGCACCACTGAAAAGAAAAAAAAATCCAAGGCTAAAACTAAGAAGGGTTCATCCTCTTCCTCCTCTTCCTCCTCCTCCTCCTCCTCTTCCTCTTCCTCCTCCTCCTCCTCCTCCTCTGACTCTGAGAAAGAAGGCAAAAAGCCCAAGAATGAGGATGAAGTTGCCCAAGCTTGATCTTTAAAAAGCTTTTTTCTGCCCTGTTTCCTATCACCTTAAACTTTATCCTGCTGTTGCTGCCGAACCTGAAATGCTTCCATGAGGTTGCTCAAGTGTCTTTTCTCAGATGTCAGTAAATAAATACATTTGATTTTTGAAAATTACCCAGCAGTGTTTGTTGTTCTTTGACTTTTCCAACACTCATTCACCAAAGTGAGGTATCTCCTTTGAAAAAGCAGGGATTACGACGTGGTAAAATAAAATACACACATAAACATAGTTGTGTTTGGCAAGGAAATACATAGGGCTCCTCTCCAACAGATTGTTGTGAGGCTTAATATCAATTAATCTGACAATTATCTTCTCTTGCTCTTTTTGGCTTATAAAATATCAGAAAATTCTGAAAAATGCCCATCATACTATCTTACAGCACAATGTGACATCATCACATCTTGTTTAGTCCAACCAGTAGTTCAAAACCCAAATGTATTCAATTTATTATAAGAAAAACCATCAGATGTTTGGTATTTTTGCTTGAAAAATGCTGCTCGTGGTCGACTAATCAATTAATCAATAAGTTGTTGTAGCTCCAATGTTTATTGCACACAACATGCCTTCCATCACCCTGTCAGAGTGCATGAGTTAGATAGGAAATGAGCAGATAAGTCAAAATAGACGGATAAAAGTAATCAATCAATAGTTGAAACTTTCAGATTCTGTTGTGTAGCAGTATGAATGCAAACTTGATCAAACCTACTGTAAAGGAGAGAAAAAGCCTAAAACATATGAAACAAATAACACAGGATCAATGTCCAGTTTTTGCTAATAGTGTTAAATAACATCCACATGATTTCAGTAAGTTTGTTAATTGCTTTAAAATGATACTATGAGCTCGTGGATGGTAGACATGTCTCAACCAGTACAAAATCACGTAATCCTTAAACTGAAGTGAGATAAATAAAAGCCAAAGTTCTGGACATCTACACTAGAAAGCTTACATATATTTCATAATGAAATGTATTTTCAGATCGTTAAAACCAGTTTAGAAACACCTTGATATCAAAGGTGAGCTTTTCAAGATTTTATATGATCTCTTCTCAGAAATTGCCCTCATTTCTGATCAATA